AATAAATTTCTTGCGCACTGTAACCTTTTGAAATCATTTGATGTAATAAAATATTAGGTACAATTGTATGTATTTATTTTTTCAGTGTTTTTCCTACGACGTTACGCTCATGAAAGTAGATAGTTTTGTGCAGGATTTTGATCGATCTATTTTGTTATATTCGTTTAACATAAATGACGTTCATCGATAATCCTTGCATTAAATTATTATTTTTGTTTTAGTACAAATGATTTGTTGATTAAAATCTTGTATTTAAAAGTTTATATTTTATTTTACATTATGATTTGTAAGGACTTGACCCCGCCTGTAATAATTAATAACATTTGAATCGTTTGTATTGATATTTTATTTTTTACACAAAAGTGGGTATTGTATGTAAACATTGCACGATGCATTTTATATTTAATGCAATCAAATTTTATAAATGAACTTGTTTATTTCTTTTCAATTATGATGTTTAAATCGCGGTTTTTCTAATTCCTTTTCTTTTTAGACTTCGTATAGCATAACTGGTAAAGTTATAATTTAATAACATCGCCTCATAATGTGAATGTGGATTGTTAATCGGTTGGCTTAATCTTGAGGAGACAATTAAGCCTATGATAATCAATAAATTCCAATCAATCTCATCAAAAATAGTAAAGGTGCCTCACCATATGCAATTTGATGATATGCAACCAGATTTACTTTTGTGCTCACCCCATACGCTTTAGGGAACATCCAGAAGTTTGCATCTTGAGCTCATCCTTTATTGTGTCAATAGTTTGCATCACGCGCTATTAACACAAAACCATCATAATCTCTTCATTCGAAAGCGAGAGAGTTGAGCTTTAATTCACCCACTGCGCCGTGCGAATTGTCATAATATTGTCCGACACCTAAGGCTTGAAATGAAAGAACGGCTTATGGTTTGACTTGACTTAAAAACCCGCCGATCAATTCAATCGTGGTCAGGTTTTGGCCCCGACACCTTTCTATTCGAAGTCGACACTCCGGCCGCTCGTCCGCTGCAGCTAGTCCATGATGTGATATAAACGGATTTCGTTACGCATGCCGCAAATATTTGCCTATAAACTAACCTTTCCGTACAAAGAAGTGCTATCCTCAATGGCTGGCACGCCCGTTTTCGGAGCAGGGATGCGCATACTCAATTTGATTTGGTCAGCACCACCTAGTGTTGCTATAAAATTCACGTGTGGATCGAAAATATAGATCGTATCTCGCTTTGAAGATAGAAGAAAACATCGTGATCGAAGCCACCCGCTACAATTGGCTCTTCAAGTTCTTCAAATACAAATTTTAAGATTTATATACAAAAAATCTCTTTATTTTATAGGTTATATATACATGATTCTTATAAAACATCATTTTAATGTGTATTTACCACTCGTTTGGAAACCAAATTTTCTTTAAAAGAACGAGCAAGAAACTAAAGGATAGATCTTGTCAAATTAAATTGTTTACAATTACGATCAAAACAAAAGTTTGACAAAGAGAGATAATCCGACAAGAAACCGAACTGATTATGTATACGAATATTTGTCCTCAAATTAATCGGAGTTTTTTTAATATCCATTCTTATCGAGTACCTAATTGTATAACTATAATTTTAAATTTATTTAAGGGACGAGTTTTTAAATTTATGTAATCCAGTTATATGGAAACACATTTTTTTTTTGCATATATTAAATTTCATATATTTTTTGTTTATATATATATATATATGTATAAAATCTATAAACTGAAAATGACAAATTAAAACTCCAATTTCCATAAATATGTGACGTACCTCCACAATGGAAACTAGATCCTATACTAGTATATATAAAATGAATTCCCGTAGCCCTCCACAGTGGCGACATTCACTAATTAATTTACGTGAGCTGTTTTTCTTTCAATTTAACCCGTCCCCCCTTTTGGTGAGATTTGATTGAACCCCCCCTTTCCTTTCCCTTTAATTTACGCTATAATTGTTAAAAGCCTATATTTTCATGAGCCAGTGAAATTGCACATCGAATTTATTTTAATCTACTAAAGTTTAGGCTTCATACAAGGTAATAAACATCACTCTGTTGTAGTTAAAGAAAAATTTAATAATTGTTTTAAACATAACAATTTGTTTTATGATCTATGCAATAATGTATCTACATTGTTTAAAAGTTGACGTGAATTTTCATTTACACTCCCCTCAGATTAAATGAAATTTGATGGGACTTCACGGGACCGCCCCCCCGCCCATTTTGAGCTCACACAATTAATACAAGTCCCAGTAATATGGATTGAACAAACATAATAATAAAATTTTGTCTTTATCATTAAAATAAAACATTTAATAGAACTTGTATTGAAGTGGGAGTCCATATTTGAAACTATTAGAATTGATTCGTGTGCATTTTTATTACATTGAGTAAATTGAATTATGTATAAAATGGTAATTATATCATGGATACAATAAATTTATTAAATTATCCTTTATTGCATATATTATATATTTTATGTTTTATAGTAGTATACGTCAGTGACACTTTATTATGTATCTAATAAAATTTTTAATATGGTTTATATAGCCTGTTAATTAATACCTCGGATTAGATCGAATATAGCTGTTTTTTTATTTAAGCAGAATTGACAATTTATGTCGCGTAATTACGTATTTATATAATTGCTATCAATAAATATAAAGTCAATGTTATTAGAGCACAGGACTAGACAAATAGGTATCTATATATAATGAATAAATGCTAAACTACTTAATCATGAAATGTAATTACAAGACGCCGCCGCCGTTAATGCTTCAGTCCAAAACCTAAATAGCTGGTAAATCTTGTTCTGGTCGAACACACGTTCCTGGTGCTGGCTAGGATGGGTATACTCCCCGATCTAATTCTATCGTTGAAATTCCGTTATTTCCAGTTTTTTCAACTATGCCCAATGGATAGAATATTTTTCATTTACGACTGTCACTTTAAAATTGGACTGCATTTGTAGCTGGAATCTGTAGCTTCACCGTGGCTCCAGATTCCAATCCAAGAGTGTGGACCAAGGATGGATAAGCTGTTTGTCAAATGCCTCCTGTACGTCGACGACCAAGTAACCATTGCACCGTGGGCGAGAGTTGCAGGCGATGGTGATTAAAATTAATGATTTCATTAAGAAAAGAAGTACGAAATGTCAGAAATACCTACTGAAGTCATTTGTAAGAAGCCAAAGTGGCTAAATGCGATATATGAATACATATAGAAGATGAGAGAGTCGAACAAGTGGAAGCGTTTGTATACTTGAGTAGTCTGTATACAAGTGACGGTAAAGATGACAGAGATATCGAAAGGAGAATTAATGCGAGAAACATATTGAATGGGGCCTTGCTTTCTACTATGAATAGTAAAAGCGTATCACGACAAGCGCTTTTGGCTCTATTCCTTATTGAGTCCCGATACCTATTCTAATGTACGGTAGTGGAAGTTGATTATGGCAGAAGAAAAATGAAAGTTGATCCAATGGGGTGGAGATGAGATGGCTGCGTAATATATGTGGAGTGTCTGAAAGATACATATAGAAACAGTGATGTTAGAGAGCGGTGTGCTTTGAAGGAAGATGTGGTGACTAGAGGAGAAAGAGGTGTGTTGCGGCGGTTTGGCCACCTGGAAGGGATGGATGAAAGTAGACTGACAACAAACTTATAGAACGAATGTATGAAATGAAAAGGTCAACTAGGATAGCCCTAGAAAATCCTATGCAGACCGCATTGGTGGCATATTAAAAAGGACCAAATTTTAAGCATCTTTAACCGATGAGCTTATATGAAAAGATTGATGGATGTCAGGGCAGCAAGAGACATATGTAGCCTCTGTTCACCCTTCCCGGGAAATAGACGTGAGTGTATATTTTTATATAACATCCAAACCCAGTGAGCACGTACTGAGGGTGGTTGTTCATTCGTTTAGCCTTAATTACCTAGATTATGTACGAGTAATACGGCAGACACGACACAACAACTTTATCTGTGGAATTAAACCATTTTGTATGAAGTGGTAACATTGTTTGTCAGTCACGGATGTTAGACTATAGTTGGTTAACTTGTACTGTTACTTAGAAGTACATTGTTTTACTGAGAAACTAAGCGAGTATTTTTTCAAACCTTGTTATATTTACCTTAGGTATAATACGTACGTGCGATTGTTGATGTAATATTATTAGAAAATGTTTTACGTGTAATGTGATATTGTAATCTAATATTTGAATACATGAATTCGATGTAGTATTTTTATAATGTAGCGAAAAATATACCTATTTGATTGTAAGTTGCGACGGTAATGGCGCAATGATATTAATGTTAGTGAAGTCAGAGAGCGGCGTGGTTTGAAGGAAGATTTAGAGACTAGAATAGAAAAAAGTATGTTACGGTAATTTGTTTGCCTGGAAAGGACGAATGCTAGTAAGCGGGCAAAGTAAATCTATACAGCGAACGGGTGTGCAAGGGTCGGCAAAGACTGCACTAGAAAACTTAAGTATACCGAAATTTAGCATACTGCAGAAGGGCGGAGTCTTAAACGCCTGAAACCAAGGAGCTCGTATTAAGCGATCGATGGATGTCAACGAAGAAATATGCAAAGATTGTACCACGTGAGAATTTGCGATCTCTGCTTACCCTTCTTAGGAATAGGCGTGAGTTTATAATAGATAGTAATAATATTTACACGCACTTCTTGGGCGCAGAACTCAAACACCGAGGAAAATCCAGAAAACATGAAACCTCGCGGCGGACATATTTCCCACTTTACGTCTGCATAAAATATCATTTAGACAGTGGATCTTTTTGATAATACACTTATTTTCAACGAATAATGAGAATAACTTCAATACGTTATTGGAATAAAGTTCATTATCGCACGTAACACTCGGGCGCTCGGCTGACGGGAGCTACACGAAAAAAAGTGTAACCGCAACGGAAAATGCTGACCGCTATTGTTTTAGTTAACATTTTTATAAATGTGAGCGTCAACGTCCATACCACGTTGGATACACCGGTTCTCGTCCAATCACCAAAGTTAAGCAGCTTCGGGCGCGGTCAGCACTCGGATGGGTGATCGCCGGGACACACCGCGTGATGTTGGCTTTTTTTGGTATTGCATTCTTTTTATGGTAATTTATAATAAAATATTAATTACAATTTTTATCAGAATATTTTATCACCATTCCTTTATTCTTTTTGGTGTATTTTTCGTTTCATTTTCAAAGTTTGTTAATTTATTTCATTGTGCTTGTATATAATTTATAATTGTTTTTTTTTCCTAAAATATTAAATGAAACTCTAGTATACGTAGGTTCAGTTCTGGGGAGTATTCAATTTTTAATTTTAAATAAATAATTACTTAATAAATATGCGAAGGTGACATCTATTATTGATTTCATAATGTAAGTTGACGAACTAACAAAGTCTCTCATAAATGAAACTTATAGCGCTGTTTAGTGCTTTTTTATTTATTTTCAATTTTAATTTTAGTAATTAATAACATAGTACTATTAGAATTGATTCGTAGTAAAACATGAGTAAAGAAAATAGATGAGAATTAATATTTTATTTACATTCCAAGCAGAATTCCGCCGAGGTACTAAAATTTAAAAAACTCACTAGTTGTGTGAAGAAGTCCTTCATAAAACTCGCACTAAATGAACACAATTTGTGCTTGGCCTCAATCATTCGTGCCTTCGTCTTCATGCGCTTGTGCAACAAATGCAATGCAAATTTTATCGATCATTGTCCGTTGCAAACTTGTGTGCGACGTCCGCGAGAATTCTCAAGTTAAAAATAAAAACTATTTTTAAGGTCCCATAGAATAAGAAAAAAAAGGACCATTATAGTATCTCATTGTGTCCTTAAGTCACAGCTTCAAAACCTTTCTATTATTTTTATCAAAACAATGAAAAAATCAGGTATTTTATATGAACCATTATCATATTGAAAGGATTATTGTGGTCGCTTTTCGTACATAAAATAGAGGGATTTTTTTGTCGTGTACTTCATCGTATGGAGTGTCGTTGCGTAGTTATTTAAAAATACACTAAGGGTTTTTAAACAAATTTTCTCTGGAGACCTTACACTTGTCAATAGCACTTTAACCTTTACACGTTAACAGACGTTGGGGATGCAAATTACTCTTTACTCGCCGCATCGTCATTTTGCCGGAACATCATTCTCTGACTTGACGGTTTATTTTTGTACTTCTGTCGTCGAACGGCAACACGCCGCCATGTCTTCTAATACGAAAAAAAAAAAATAGTTTCTCCAACCGAGCCGACGTAACGGAAGGCGAGTGTCGTAATTGGTGCATAATCCACGGCCAGAGAAGGACGCCGGATGTTGTCGTGCCGCACGCGGTTAATGGCCGCCCGTGATTGGCGGTGCGCTATGTTCCTTATAGTTAAGTATCGTTCTAATGATAATCGCGAATGCATTATCTAGCGAAATCCACGCGTTTAAGATAATAAATACAACGGCGCATTCGAGTAAACTGCATAGGGGCCATTTATAAATTACGTCATATAAATTATAAGGTTTTTGACCCACCCTTCCCCCTTCCTTGACAAAGGTGGTCACACGTAAATGAAAACAGCAGTTTTTACAATTTTGTTTTGTTCAAAGTACTTTAAATATTGAACAAAACAAATGACATAAACCTTTTTTCGTTTTCGTATTTCGGATTTGACGTCACAAAGCTGTTGACCTGCGCCTTGTCGCGCATTGGCACATTTCATTGACCCCCCCCCACGCGTGACGTAATTTATGGATGGCCCCATAACATCAAAATTAAACTTTAAAGTCTAGCATTCAAATTAAAAAAAGCACAATGTATTTATAACGTATTCAATACAAAAGCTTCTCTATTTACATACAATAACGTCTTTTCTTGTCGATAGGCGTAATAATACTTCTCTAAATATTTTGGTGACGTTTGTCCTGTTCAAAACACCTACCTACGACAAACTTTGAGTCCTGTGGCATCGTCAACGAAAAATGACGAAATTAAGATTAAATTACTTAATATAAAAATAATTAATGAAAAATAATAAAGATCTAACTCTGAATAATATACATTGATTTTTTTTTTAAAGTAGTAGGTATTTGTATTCCGTACCATTTAATAAATTTTGTGAAACTACCTTTAACTTTGCTTCGCAAAATTGACTCTTATGGTTGACGATTTAAGTGCGTATATAAATATTCAGTGACGAGCGCTGTGTCGGTCTGTAGGTCAACGGCCGATTCCTTTTTTATTTTTACGTATTGTATCACCTTAAACCACAGTGGATTAATTAATAGAGATGCTCGCTTCGAATACACGATTTATTTATTTACTTGGAAATCTAATTAAGTTTTTCCTATCTGTAAAAGGCCCGGCCGAGCGCGTGTCGGGTCACGCGCATTGCCGGGTTCCGTTGCTGCTCGCCAAAGTGTACGGATTTAGAAGAGGGCTTTTCGTTTGATACCATGAATTTATCCCTTGAGTTCACGGATTAACGGTTATTAACGTCTAAAAACTAGCCCACATACGACGGGTGATAATGATTGATGATAGGATTTTATATTTCCATAATTTTACATGGTTCATAACCTTATATTTACTAATTATTTTACGCTATCAAAAAGGTCATCTAAGTAATTCTCAATGAAATATGTACGAATTGAAATATGACGTTTAGCACCACATACATCGAAAGTTTAACGTATCGTTTTAAAAGTAATAAACATGTGAATCAGCAATGGAAGAAAAATACACAGGTTCAGTGTATAAGATGGGAGGAGTGGCAGCATAACAACGACTTCAAAATGTGTTAACATTCGATTTCGCTCTCCATCTAATTTGTGTAACGAATGCTGTGTAACATAAAAGTGTATTCTAAGAAATAACCTCACTTCACGTTAACGACAGCCTCAACAATGGCCTATACAAACTTTGTACGCTTTAAAAAACGTCTACCCGAATTCCTCGAATCTCTCCAGTCGAAATGAATTCGCTAAAAACCAAACAAGTATACACAGCGTCTAACTTGTACTGTTTGCAGACTAATCGTGACTTTAAAGTTGTCGAATCGCGAGTCATCCTTCTCTATGGAATTGCAGAGAAGTATTTTACGTTTTCATCGTGCGATATTATGAACCGATAACATGATTTGTCGGTTCTTGTCTATAATAAGAGTCCGTACCTTTGGTTTGCTCTTGCGCATTGATTCGTCTATGAGTTTATTTTTTCATGACTCGCTATGCCAAGTATTCGAGAATGGTTTAAGATGGTAAATTTTTTTACGCCCCTTGTCACCAACTATTCCTATCGCTGTGCATTGTTAATACATAAAAATGTTAATATATAAAAATGTTAATGTATAAAAATGGGAACATTCGCCCACCATTGCACAGATAAAGTCATAGAATTAATTCTGTCAACCTTCAAAAAATGATATAATGCAAAAGAAACAAAAAAAAATCAAAAAAATTTAGAAAACTATCACGACAATCAACACGTGAGTTGTGTGAAACTGGAAAACAGAGAAATTGTGCGAAAAAATCAATTAATTTTAGCTTTTTTTATTAGTGTTTGAATTACTTCAAGTAGTTTCCCAATGAAATTGGCTGTCTAACTCGGTTACGTTTAATTATCATAATAAAATATTATTTTTAAGGTCACAATGGCGGCACTACCGTATATGGCTCTTCAAATGCGAAAAAGTATATGTTTACAACAGAATTTGTTTCTTATCAAAAATTAACTGAGCGTTACGAGGTGTACAATTTCGGGTTATCCATTTCTTTTTTTGCAATAGTTTTACAAAACAAAAGGATTGTAAGGAGCACGTGGTAAACGACAACTGGTGACCGAATTTACATGTTAAATATTAGACTGTAGCAGCGTGTTCTTCATTTTTTATGTATTTTTATTGAAATAAACTTATCAATTTTTCGCAATATACGCAAGCACATCGGGTCATAAGTGTGAGTATTAATTGACCGGTAGCTTCATGGAAAACGTGATCGGTCAAAGGTTCAACTTGCCCGGAGTGAGACCGTGGTGATTATCCGTATTTGGCTATTTAAATAGTTTGTCTCCCCTTAAAATAAATATATTTTCAGCGTTTGAATAGTTTCTTCCACTAATACGATCGATACATACAATATTTATTTGTTTCATTTTTTATTAATGCATAAATTTAACACCAGGGTGCGCGAACTCTAGCAGTAGTGCACTCGCTCTGTTTCGTGCACGATCCCTGTTGAGATGTTTTTCCTTGATCCATAATTATATATTAAAGTTGTGGTACCGTTGTCCGTTTGTTTGCTTTTATCTTTCACGCTGAAACTGATATTCAAATGTCGTACGCTGTCTGGTTACAAAAACAGAATAAGCATAGCGTGTATGTAAGAACGAAAATACAATTGTCTGTGTGTTTTGTTCGTAACAAAAGCTACTCAACAGACAATACTTTTGATCACAGAATGATTATAATTTGAATCAAAGAAATGGACATATGTAGAAGCGAAAGGTTTGTATGCACGTTTACTTTTCACGCAAAAACTACTGCCCAAAAAAAAAACAAACTCAAATTTTGCATACAGTGAGCGAATATTTGTAACATTGGTATGTTGGTATATATAAAAAAAATTGTCGAAGCAAAACTGCTAATAATCAATACTTATCGTATAAGAGATACACGGATTGGGGTTTGGATTACAAGTGAAATCGGGCCTGGGCCTAGAGCCAGAATCGAGAGACATTGATATAGTGAATTGGGAATGTGCCTAGGTGTATAAAAAAGGGAAGAACGCACAGCCGCTTACTATTTGAACGTCGAGAAACGGCTCAAAATGTACATGAGGTCCCTGTGTCACATTTTACAATACCATTTTGTAGTACCAAAGCAAAGAAGGGAAAGAACATTACACATCATCTTAGTTTTCAACCTAAAGGTCATACCATAAGGTTCATTTTTAAAAGCAATGAAAACAAGTAACGATCATTTTGTTACTGGTAGACAGTGAGTCATATTTTTTGAAACTTATACGTGCTTTTCAAGAACAAGACATCAATGGAGTGGTTTAAATTTATTTTAAATCATTA